TTCACCAACACCCAGGCGGAGAGGCCCACCCAGTGCCTGCAGTCCCCCGACTGCTACATGGTGAGTTGATCGCTGCTTAGCGGGACGTTAATGTCCCTCAGCTGGCCGGGGCGTCGCCGTCGTCACGGGGTCGACGCTTCGGACGAGGGGCGTCGGCGGCGGCCGGGTTTCCGGTACCAATTTCCGGACGGTGGCGGTGGAGCTCCGGATGCAGCTCGACCGGGTGCTGAGCAGCGCGGTGGCCTCGTTGACGGCGTCCTCGTCGCACAGTAAAAAAAGATTCGCTGTTTTGGTGGTCGTCCTATATCCAATCTCACCGAAACGGGTACCCCCACAAACCCGGCGACGGTCCGTCACCAAAACGGTGACCTGCGTCACCAGGTGGTGTTCCGCCAGAGAGGTTAGGATGACCACAACAACTGTTTTTGAGCTGTCTGTGCATATTTGTGCGTGCCCGCCGGCAATGTTACGCTTTGATGAGTCACGCGAATGATTACTGACAGCCCCTGACTTGTTTTGTGTCCTATTTCACATTAATACGACGATTAAAAGTCGCTGGCGGGAGGGTGACTGCAGTGCCGTTCTGGTGAGGTGGCTGCTCCGGAACGGACCGAGCGCCACCGAAACTAGACCGAGCGTCGCCGAAACGAACAGAGGGCCGCCAGAACAGTTTGAGGGTGTCGCTGTTCTTGTAATATTCTCGTTTTGGCGCCCAGACGTCACCGAATCGGCGAATCTTTTTTTACTGTGCGACGGCGTCCTCGTCAACGGCGTTCACGTCGACGGCGTCCTCGTCGACGGCGTTCACGTCGACGGCGTCCTCGTCGACGGCGTCCTCGTCGACGGCGTCCTCGTCGACGGCGTCCTCGTCGACGGCGACCTCGTTGAGGGCGGTCTCCAAAGCCATTAGCTGCTCGTGCAATCACTCAAAACGAGTGCGCCGGCGGTCGGGATCGATCCCAGGACCGTGCTGGCGAAGTGGCGCCGCGAGAGCAGCAATGGTGCAAGGGAGCGTGACGCTACATAGCTCGGTGCACACCTGCCGAACAAGCCGCCGCCCCGCCACGCCCCGCGAGCACTTGAGCCTAATTAATCACTCTGGTGTAATTCCGGAATCAATTAGAGCCAATCATATCGGTGGCGTCGTCGGGGGCGCGGCAGTGTAGGCGGGGCGGATCCAGAGGGGGCGGGGGGCACCCTAACGAAGCGTGAGTCCACGACGGGGTAGAAGGGGCGCACCTGGGACCGTGCTCCCCGGAGCACCCTGCTGGGGGTGCCGGTGAACGGGGAGGGGGAGGGGAGGGTGCGGTTTGGGAGAGTTTGAGCGCGCGGCGCTGACGCTGGGGCTGCGGGACTCATTACAACGCGGGTGGACTTCCCCGCGCGCTCTCGTCAGCAGCCTTCCATCTCTCTCTCTCTCTCTCTCTCTCTCTCTCTCTCTCTCTCTCTCTCCTCTCTCTCTTCCTCTCTCTCTCTCTCTCTCTCTCTCTCTCTCTCTCTCTCTCTCTCTCCCTCTCTCTCTCTCTCTCTCTCTCTCTGCCGTGTCGCAGGGGCGGGTCCTAGGGCGTTATATCGGCCTAATTGCGTTTTGGGGGGCCTATCGACGCGGTGGCGGTGCGAGGCGTTGGAACGAGCGTCGCGGCGTCAGCAGGGATCTGCGGCCGAAGAACCCCAACGTGTGTGACACTCTGAGTGCGTCTGTCTGTCTGTCTGTCTGTCTGTCTGTCTGTCTGTCTGTCTGTCTGACCCTACAGCCAGTGCGCCTTTCCGGACAGAGTGCCCGGAATTCAGCATTGGCGCGGCGACACCCCGGCCGGTGTGGTCTCCGGAGGTTTTTTTTTTTGCTTTTTATCGCAGGACTTTTTATTGGCTGGCCATTGTCCGTCATCAATTGTCGATCGCATTGCGTGTGTTTCTGCAGCAGCGCGACGGCGGCCAAACAGACAGACAGACAGACAGACAACCGCGCTTTAAGCACTTACATTAATCGGAACTCATAAAGGTGATCTCATTTCCCTTTACGAGGCCCAGGCCAGGCAGGCGCAGCCAGTCCCCGGCCTGGACGCGCGGCGGGGAAGTCCGCTGTATTATCACTGCCGGACCCGTCGGACGGTCGTCCGACCCGAACGAACGGCGCTGGAGCGGGTCGCCGCGTCGCGACTCGCAGCGACTCGCGGCCCCGGCAGCACCGCCCTAGCAAATAATTGTAAATAATTGGCGGGGAATGAGAACAACGAGAGTCCCTTAATGAGGGCGGCGTTCCGTTCAGAAGGCCGCCGCCGTGGAAGCCGGCCGCGCCCCGAGGCCTTTCCGACGACGCGGACCTTTCGGAACGGTTTGATGGCGGCGCCCGAGGAAAGGCCGCGCAGTGGGCCAGAAGACCGGCGGCGCCGGCCGGCCGAAACTCGAAACGCGTTTTGTACTCCAGAGTCGCGAACCAGGGCTCGAACCGAGCGTGTGACCCCACCAATGGATTCCTCGTGCGGAGAGCAATCCATTGGTGGGGTCACACGTTGGGTTCGAGGCCCATTTAGCGACTCTGGAGTCAAAACGCGTCCGGGATTTCGACCGCCCCCGCAGGTGCACCTGGCCCTCGATGTGTTTAGCGGCGGCCCCCGCGGATGCACCCAAGGCAGACTCGGGTGATGGCAGATGAGGATGAATGGGAACGAGGCGTACGTAGGCGGGGGTCGTCAACAAACGAGGAAAAGGGGGGGGGGGGAAATAATACACACGACGGACGTGCCGGGCCGCGAGGGCACCGCGGCGCGACGGCCAGGCCGACTGGCGGCACCACACCTTTTATCATGCGTGTGTGTCTGCATGTGTGAGTGAGTGTGTTATTTGTTTTATAAATAATTTAGTATTATTATTTCGTCCGCGTATGCTTTTCTTTTCTTTTTTTTTTCCCGCGAGCGCGCGCGCGAGCCTCTGCCGGCCAGGCAGGCAGGCAGCCAGTTGGCCGGCCGGCGCGTCTCGTTGTTGACTTGAGGGCTCCGGGGCTTTGATTGGACTTATGGGCGGAGCGGGGCGGGGCTAATGAGCGGCACACTGTCTGTACCCCTGGGCAATCGGGCTGCCTCCGTGTGTGTGTGTGTGTGTGTGTGTGTGTGTGTGTGTGTGTGTGTGTGCGTGCGTGCGTGCGTGTGCGAGAGAGAGAGAGAGAGAGAGAGACAGAGAGAGAGAGAGAGAGAGAGAGAGAGAGAGAGAGAAGGGGGAGGGGCGAGGACGGCTGCAGGATTGTCCAGGCGTATCGTCCTGCGTCCATCACGCCCACCTTCTCGAGTGTGCGTGTGTGGTGTGTATGTGTGTGGTGTGTGTGTCATTTTTAGGGTGCCGTTCAGGCGGGTTGTAGTTCTGATGTTCTGCGCTTTGAGTATCACAGTCGCTGAAAGAGGACTCGAACCGAGCATGTGACCCCGCCAAGGGATTCCTCGTTCGGAGAGCAATCCTGGTGGGGTCACACGTTCGGTTCGAGTCCCATTTAGCGACTCTGGAGCTCAAAGTCGCGTCCGGGGTTTTGACCGCCTCCACCGGTCTTCTGCACCCACTGTGCGGCTGCGCGTAACGCAGTGTTCGATACCTCGCCGCGATAGTCGCACGTTGGGAGGCACCACCGCGTCGAAGCGCAGCCCCGCGGCCACTGCATGGGGAATGCCTGCGCTAGCCTCGCTGCACGTATCGCCGGCACCGCCGCGTCGAATGGCCCGGGCCGGATAATCCCGGCCGGCCGGCGCGGCTTTCGTCGCCCCGTCTCTGTCGCACTCGCGGGGCGCGCCGTGGCGGTGCGAGAGAGACAGAGCGATTGTTGGCGCTGACACACGGTAAGCCGTGGCGAGACGCTCCAATGACACGATTCTTCCTTGTGTGCTGCCCCGCGCCGCCGCGGCCCGCCCGCCTCATTTGTGTCATTTAGGCCCGCGCCACAAATCATGACCGGCCGAGGGAAAAGACGGCGCTCGAAATTTGTTGTCGTTTGGCGGAAAAAGAGGTAAATAAAGTGCCAAAAAAGCGACTTGCGGCGGCGGCGGCCTGCTGAAAGGGACGCCCTGGAATTTGGCGGCCCCCTCCCCTCCCCGCTTCCCCTCCGCCGGAGAAGGAATGCCAAGGTGAAGGTTGGGAGTTGCCGAGATGGTTTCGCAAAGCGCCGCAAAGTGGCTCAGCGAGTGCCGAAGTGCGAAAGGCCTGGCGCGAGGCTAGAGGCGCGGCGGGCGCCACCTGCACTCTGCAATTAAACGGATGTTGGAGGCGCCGAACGAACGCCTCGCCTCGCCGGCACGCGCGCCGCCTCCCCGCTCGCAAAGTGGGCCAGAAGACCGGTGGAGGCGGTCAAAATCCCGGACGCGTTTTGAGCTCCAGAGTCGCGAAATGGGACTCGAACCGATCTGATCGTGTGGCCCCACCAATGGATTGCTCTCCGAACGAGGAATCCATTGGTGGGGTCACACGCTCGGTTCGAGTCCTGTTTAGCTACTCTGGAGCACAAAATGCGATTGGAGGTTTGGCCGCCAGCGCCGGTCTTCTGGCTGTGGGGGTTTCGTGACTTTCTCGGGCGCCCCTAAGATCCGCGCCTACGTCGCCCCTGCAGTGCGTCAGCCTTACAGTGCGTCGACACGTCGTCTCTCTCTCTGTCCCTCTCGCACCGCAACGGAAGGCGGCGCGAGAGGGACAGAGAGCGCCGTTCCAGTCGGCCGGGCTTTTCCGCTGAAAGGAAGACAAATTGGGCGGCGACGAAGACAAGGGGCGGAACGCGGCGAGGGCGGCCAGGGCAGGGGGGCAATCCGATGCAAAGTGAGTGCAGCATCGCAAACGCTGCTCGCCTGGATGGACTGCCTGCCTGCTGCGGTGGATTGATTCCTTCTCCGTCTCTCTCGCACCCCTGCGGGACGCCCCGTGAGTGCGAGAGAGACGGAGCGACCAGCCTGCCGCTCCGATTGACGCCCCGGCGGCGCTCTGGCTGCCCGGGTGGAAGTTTCAGAGGAGAGAGAGGGGGGGGGGGGGAGGAAAGTATTGGGCGCGCGCCACTGCGTGCGGGCCCCCGTCATTTGTGGCAAAGGGAA